GACTTCCCGGCTTCGGAAGGTCTGGGGTGATAGAGAGAGATATATATTTTTATTATTATTATTTTTCCCCCCTCTTCCATGCTGGTTTCTTGAGCAAGTGGTCGTTATTGAAGAGGTCATTGAGGGGACCGGCAGAGGGTCCCGAGTCTGGCGTCAGGAAACATGACAGCAGAAGTGAATGTTCGTTAACAGAAGGGATTTACTGAAGAAGAAAGACAAAATGCCTTTCGAAGGATTCAGTTCGCTGAAGGAAAGACTTTTTAACACAGGAAAGGAAGAGGTGAAGAACACCGTTAGTGACTCGCTGGGAAATCTAAGAAGGTAAAATCAAATTGAAAATTCCCAGACATGTCTATCGGTTCCATTTATTAAAGAGAAATGATGTACAGAAAAATGTATAAATATAAAACAGAATTTCAAGTTGCAAAATTAATATCTGAGCTCGGATAGTGAGAGACACCTTGCTGCAAGACCGCAGATGTATAAGGAACACAGTTACAACAGCATATGACTATAGATTATAGAATATTTATATTAAACAAAAAAAAAGGTGAAAATAAGTTACAGAATAGCATTCTAATATTACAAAGAACATGTAAAAGGGTTTTAATTATAAAACTTTTAAATAATTAACTGTGAATAATTCTATGGTTTAGCTTGCGTGAGAAAAACTGATGATTTAGTGAAAATTAACACTCCCGAATGATGCCACTTTTGAAATTAGACTTAATGTTCATAAATTACAGCAGCTGTTTTGAAAATCTTGTTCCAAATCAGTAAGAGAAAATGTATTAAGTAGAGATGTGCATGTGTGTGTTTACTAACAAAGGAGAAAGAGAAAAAGAAGCAGCAGCTATTTGCTAGCAAAAAGAGAAAAAAAAATTTTTTTATCTTAATCTGACAGTTTATAAAACAACTAACTGAAAGATTTTTATTTTTGATAAATGAAAATACGATGTAACAAATGACCAGTTTCCTAAAGGGAAAGAAAAAAAGAGATTTCTCATTTAAATGGAAGATTATTTCTGTTACTAATGGCCACTGACAACATTTATTTGTGTAATCAATAGATGAGAGCCAAGGGTTCAGTGGCATTTATTGCATGCTTGATGTTAAGTGTTTTAAATCTTTGTATGGATCAGGCCAACATTTTAACTGAATATATTTTAAGTGATTGAATTGTATTTGCTTTCATATCCATCTCTTTACCTTCTTTTGGGAATGCCATTGTGAGTGGAGATATAGCTCTTGGCACATCTGAACATGCCTTTGATCACAAGAAAATGTGTAAGAGTTTACATGCATTATACCACAGTAAGTATATGCAAGGAAATAAGCATGTACACTTTTAAGGAAGTTACTAATATGCACTGGTAGATTGCCAGTTACACTATTTCTATACCATGTGAGCAGAATATCTGCGTTCCACAGTTTCAACTTAACTTTTCTTCATTTACAGTGTTACAGATGAAGTCTGACATCTTGCTTTTTTTACTTTTACAATACTCTACAGTAATTCCAGGGATTCCATTTTTCTTTTAAAATATCAAATTAGGTCATTTATTTAATCATAAATTCTCTTTGCTGTGGGCTCTGCTGGCCAATTCCACCAAATACATGTAGGGTTGATATTTGGTGAGTACGTGATGTGACAGTACACTGGGTTTGCTATGTGGAAATGGTGTGTAAACTTTAAATTATCCAGATTACTCTCCTCTTGTAACCATGTATCAAGGATGTCATGCTGGTTCCTACATAGTTGATAGTACCAGCATCCAACTTCAGCAACATTGCTACTGAATCGAATGAAACCAAATCTGAGTTGAGATACACAAAATCTTGCTGGTCTTCATTATTTTTTGTTTTAAACATATGTATACCAGTGCCCTTCCTAGATGTACTAGCCAATGGGGGAAATAATCCAAACAATAAATGTTTTTTTTACTGTGTCTGCAACAAATCTAAGAATTGCTGCAAGTTGAGCAGTCTCTTAGGAAATATTCAGTCATATTTGAAGGTTTCTGCAAGGAATGAAACACGCATGTTTTTAACTTGAACCTCATTCTCTACAGCTTAGCCTACAAATAAAAGCATACACTTTCATTTTGACATGATGGTACGTACGTATATGTACCAGCTGCAACCTCAGCTTTGCTCTTCATCCAATCCAATTGGCTTTAGTATGGTGTAAATCTGCAAAGAATTTGGTTTCCTTTCTAGCATTTGATAGATGATTAATTATACTAATGCACATTCTTGATTAGGTCTCCAAGTGTGATTCCACCGACTGTCACGTGCTGATGTAGGATCAAAACTGGGGAAGTGGGCAGAAAAATACTTTTTAGCTTTGGTAAATACGACAAGTCTGTGCTTTCCTACCACCCTTCCTCTGTCTTGCAAACAAGAGTGCAGATCCAGAAGCCAGCGTCTGGCAAGATCAGCTGTCGGATACCGGCTGCTCCATAGCCGTTGTCCACAAACAAGTTCAAGTGCTAAAGCACAAGCAGCATAAAGCAGCTTAGTGCCTCCTCACAGGTGTGCAGCAACCTCAGATTACGTTGTGGGTGCTGCAAAACAAGAGCTTGCCCACAGGAGGCTGCTTTAGGGTAGCTGGAGCCTGGAAGGGAGGCAAGGGAGACTGAACTGGTGAGACCTGAGAGGTGTCCTTTCTTTAGGCTGTGGCCAGCGGTTTCATTTGTGAGATGTTAGAAGATGTTTTAGAAGACATTTTAGATGCTTGGTACAAAATAATTTTTTATGCCAAATTGAGTTTGTTCTTGATCGGTTAAATACAGTGGGGCAGCAAAAAAAAAAAAAAAAAAAAAAAAAAAGGTAGAGGGTGAATGGATATCAGAGTTGGGGCTCTGCAAGCCTTATGAGTTTCCCAGAAAAGAAAGCATTTCCTGTGGAGCTTCTTGGCAGGCACAAACACTCTGGGACTTCTGTGAACTTAGTGTAGTCAAAGAAAAATTCGTGAACTAAAGTAAAATCTCAGGTTCTGCCTACTCTGAGGATTTCAGGAGTCTTGGACCAGCTAACAGCAGCTGTGGGCTTAGTGATCAAGTGGGAAGTGACTAAGTGGGTTTACAACTCAGTAATGTCCCTGTTAATGTGAAAAGCGGTATGGGCCATGTCACACAGCTGCTGTATATAGTCTGGGCCCTGGTAGGTGTAGCTCTGGCTACTGCAGGTGTCCCTTGATGACTTAGCCTACACTGCTAAAAACTGCAACTTGAAGCTGGGCGAGATACCCTTGCATTGGACAGGGCTCCTCCACCTGCGCTGAATCATAGACTTAGTCCTCTCAAGTTTTTCCTTTCCACACAAGTACAGAGAGTTTAATGCACCGCAGACCGTGTAGCACTGTGAACACAATGTGGGGTGTCCAGACTCAGCGGGTTTGCAAGTCATGCAAGGCCCCTTGTACAACGGTGTTAGTGCAAGGGCACGCTACACGTGTGCAGCGCTGCGCTGCAGCACCCAAGGGGCATCCCTCCAGTGCTTGGAGGCTGCGCTGAGGAGAAACTGCGAGGCTGCCTCGCAGCTTGGGAGTGCAGCACCTGTGAGATGCAGTCCCATGGCACATATGTTTGAGACATGCCACGACTTTCGTGCAAACACCCTGCAGAAACCAGCCAGAGAGGTCCCACTTGAGGTGTTGCACTGAGCGACTTAAGAGGGTCGGCACTGGGATTTTGTACCAATGCCTCAATTGCAGGATTTTGGTACAGAAAATTATCACCTGGGCAAATCCCTAGAAAGTAAATGAGATCTCAGAAGATTGTATCTGCTTTTGGATAAATTGTATGTTTCAGTAGCCAGTGTGTAGGTTTCTGAAGTTATGCCAGGATTATCAGTAATTGTTGCACGTGATGCAACACGTGACTGCATTGATGCATGCGACTGATGCTGGACTTGCAGGTGTGAGATTTGAACATTGTGTATGATTGTGCTGCAGCTGCCTGTGAAAGACTGTAATATTTGGTAACAGTCATTCTAGAATGTGTTCTAACACACGGCAAGTATTAACATTTGCCCATTATTGTAGGATCTATGTGTTTCTAATCAAATGAAATTAAATGGTATGATTATAGTCCACCTACTTTATCATTTGAAGAAATAAGTTATTCCTATGCTAAAATCCCATAAATACAGCTTGCTGAATGTATATGTGTTCTAGGGATTTTATTTATTACTGATAAGAATTTTTGAAATGTCTTTCATTCTTCAAAAATCCCGTATATGCCAGACTAATCATTCAATAAAGAAGAGAAATTTTGCATACAGTTATTATGACATTTAGGTACAGAACACAGACACAGATATCTGCAAATAGCTTAGGTCTTCTTACTTGCCAAGTGTTGTATGTTTGCTGAAAAAAGGAAAGAGATTGATGTAAGGACTGAATGTTTCCCATGCAGCAAAATGCTCTCCTGCATGGGTCAGATAATTAGAGAAGAGCACCGGCTCTGAAGCAGTTTTCTTCTAAATCATTGGTGTACTGTAAGTGAAATTTTTCAGTGGCACTACCAAAATATACGGACCAATTGGAAGATATATTTCTCATATTTTGATAGAGTTGCCATACCTTCATTATATACCTGTTCAATAGAATAAAGCTAAAAAGCTAGGTCAAACACCATCTCTGTGAATGTTTGCACTGCTAATGCTTCATCCCAGCTCCATTTTTGGACGGCCATTGCAAAATAGTTTTCTCCAAGACAGACCTGCTATAAAGGGGTTAACATTAAGCTTTGGGGTTATGAAATATACTGTGTGGGTTTGAAGTCAGGCATCAGTCCTCAACTTGCTTTTATTAACAGTTGAATATAATAGCAAAACAATCAATTTCTCCACAGAGGCAATGTTGGGCCATAGTGCTAGTCCTGGCTCACCACTTTTAATGGTGAATTTGGAGCAGAAGGATGTTTTCATGCCTATCTGAATTGACAGCCAGCTGAAAATGTCCAGATTGGAACAGATGTTTTGGCTTTGCATGATGTGTCTAATCTTCACCAGCTGCCCAAAATAATGCACCAATTAAAGTCTAATGTCTCTCCTATAAATAGAGAGCCTGGTAAAGGTATAATAATTTGAGATAGTATGCTTTGATTTAATTCAATGAATATCTTAGATTATGTTAGAGGAAGACAATTAAATTACTTCTTTGGCTCTGTTAATAACTCTTTTGAGATGACAGCCATTCTAAAAAATATTCAACTGTCTTTTAACTTCCTGAGGTCTTGATATTTTTGATATTTTATTCAGTTTACACCTACCTATATTAGCACACAGAGCATGGAATATATGGTATTTCCTTTTTGAAGTGCCTGGCTGTATTACTCCCTGTACTCTCATTTCACTAACAAATGCTGTTTCCTTGCCAGTGATCCATAAGTTCTCAACCACCTTTGACAACACCACAGTAACATCACATTTCCTGTGGTACCTTGGTTTAACACAAAGTCTTCCCTCCAGCCTGTCAATGAACTAATGGTCTAATTTTGCAGTTAGCACTGCTTTGAGCAAGGGATTAAATCAAATAATCCTGGGAGTTCCCCTCTGGCCCATAATACTCTGATTCTCGTGTTTCTTGGAAACATGAGCTGATGGACTGTAACACGCTTTTTTCCTTCTGCTAAGACTAAGGCTTAAGTGGTGGTTTTACGATACAATGTAAAAAGAAATAATAAAGTAAATGATGCACCAGTTAGCCTGTACCTCTAAAGCCTAGAAATACTGAGATTTTAAAGTGAAACTTTATATTGGAAAGATACATTTAAGTCCACAGGAAGCCCCCCAGGAAGCCATACTTACCACCTGTAGTTGCAAAGCCTTTAGTATAGAGTACTATCTGTTAGATTATGGGTAGTACATTAGACTTATAGCAACTGGAAAAAGTTGTGATTAAACCAACACTGTTCTCCCAAAAGAGGCAACCAGCTACTGTGTAATTCAGCCAGGTGTAGCCCATCCATGTGTGTTCTGTCAACATTTCTTTAGAGCTGATTTTTGTATGGAAAACTGAAGATTTCAAATATATTCAGCCAGATGTGTGAAAGAAGGAAATAAGTTACTCCTTATCAGAAAAGAGTGAATGAAATCATTTCATCATCTTATATGGCAAGCTGGGCTTCCTTTAGATTCAATAACTGTTCATATTTTCACAGTACTGAGAGTAACTCCACGGCAGACACAAAAGGAGCTGCATCCTGAGCTCATTGCTTCAGAGCACTGCCAAAACTGAAAGGCTTTGTAACGTAGCTGCTGACTGAGGCCTCCCTCGGTAAACACTTAACCTTAAGCTTGTGGGTAGTGGTTAGTGGGCTAGTTGTGTATTCACAGCTAACCATGTGCTTAAGTGTTTCAGCATGTCAGAAACTCCATATTCTGCATTTAAAACAAATACATGGGAAGCTGATGTTAGGGAAGGAAGTATTTAGCTCCGGTCCAGGGGGTGCGTGTTCAGTTCTTTCTCACCTCACCTTTTCTACCAGAGATATTCCCTGGTCGTGCAGCACAAGATGTTAATAGCTCCAATCAGATTGGGAGACCAATTTAATTTTTAGTTGCGCTATCATGCAATTCCTGGTTACGTGGAAGTGCCATTTTGTTTAATGTGAATCTCTCCGCTGCGGCGCTTGTAGGAAAAGGAAAGGCCGGATACGAAAAGCTGGAGGAGCTGTACTCCACTTTAGCTGCTAGCTGGTGGGCAAACTCTTGCAGGCTGTAGTGGCTGGGTACCATTTGTTCCTATCCCGAGCAAATGGGAGAGACCACATTCCTGACACTTTCCCTCTCAGTCCCTCCCAACTGCACTGCAGTTGCCACACCGAATTTGATCCCAAGCAAAGCCCTTTCAGCCTCCACTGCTGAGGAGCGGTGAGTCAACAGCCCAGAAAGCCTCTGTCTTCCTTCAAATCTCATTTAATATTAAGTATTTTACACAAAAGGCAACATGTTCAACAACAGGAGTTGCAGGGGTTCGCTTGGCAATGACTTAAGTCCTTCTGGTGAGAGGATGTTTCAGAGAAGAGGGTACATGTGGCTTCAAATCCCTTTAGGCACAGAAAGTCCGGGCCCGGCTCTTTTACATCTTAAATAGGGGTTCTGATGCCAAAGCCTTTTCTCCTCTTCAGTATAACCCTGATTTTTGTCTCACAAGTGAAAACAAATTCACAGGGAATTTTGGGCTGAGCATAACCATGCTTTGTGCTGTGTTTGCCCTTTTCTTGAAACCTACTGCCAGCTCTGCTTAGTGGATCTAACTAGAAGTTATTATTAATTTCATCATATGTATATTTTTCCTAACAACCAGCAGAATTTATCACAACAGAGCTCAGTTATCTCTCATAATTGTGCTCATGAATAGCCTGTGAACATTTTTCCAGCTAGCTGTCAGGCTATATGGCTGGTATTTAGAAACTTTAGAGGTTGTTCATGAAAAAGCGTAGTCTGTGTTAACCTTTCAAAGCCTGCCCAGCGTTAACTCATCATACCACCAAGAGACAAACGCCTTGCAAGGAGATGATTTAGCAGCTGACTGGAGCACGTAACTGTCCATCCACATTTCAGTGAATTTTACTGAGACAATAAGACATTTTCATTTTCTCTTTCTTCATCCATTTAGGAAAATTGATGGCATCAATGTGGAGGAGGATCACATTGAGCTGACGGAAGAGGGGCGACCCGTGCAGGCAAGCACCCGCAAGCCAGCACCATGCGACAGCTACTGCTGCGGGCTGCCCAAGCGCTACATCATTGCCATAATGAGTGGTCTGGGCTTTTGCATCTCCTTTGGAATTAGATGCAACCTGGGCGTTGCCATCGTGGAAATGGTGAACAATAACACTGTTTATGTTAATGGAAAACCAGAGCTGCAGGTGAGAAAATATCTTTCTTTCACTGTTCTGAGCAGACCTCCTTGCAAAATCATTGAAGTGCCAAATATCAAAGTATTGTGTATACATAGACCAAAAACTGAGGGAGGGAGAAACCTGAGTCTCGATTCACATAGATGTGTTGGTGCCTAATTCCTATTTAGGCGTCAAAGTCACATCACAAGTCTGTAAGATCTGAGGATTTGCAATGCCATAGAGGATGTAAGTAGCAGAAATGAGAACTGAATTGGCTTGCATGTTTATCAGGTCCCTGATCTTTCACTTATAGACAGGTTTTGTTACAGTGGCAGAAGCTTTTACTATCTCTCAGGGAAGCATGCTCTGATGCTGCTACAGAAGGAATTATTAATTGCTGTATGTAATGCTGCACTCACTCTATTCAGATCAGTAGATGACTTTCAAGACCTTAAGTAGTCACTGGCAATAAGGCAACAGTTACAGGTTATTGACAATGTGGACTGCTGCCTAGAACTATTTAGAGCTACGTGCCAAGCTATTTTCAAATTTGCAGTAGATGGCATGTGGTTCACAGCAGATGCCTACACATCTTTAACAATGCACCCAAGGAACTGCAGGTTCAATGCATACCTTAGTTTCCCCAGTCCTCCCTTGGTATATGGCTGTGATATCATGAGTCTTTTTAAGGACTTTATGAACTTGAACCTTCGCATTTGCTCTACTTGTTGATTTGATTTGGTTATTTTTTGGATATTTTTGTCCTAACAAATTATTGACAGGAATATTGACTCTTACCTGACGATTCACCATGTGCTGAGGTCTAGGAGAAAAGCCACTACAGAAGGACAAAGTATCATTAGACCCTCCCAGGGAATGGAGGCTTCCCCCAGCCCATGGATACCCTTTGTTTGTTAGCACGTTCCCTAACACAAAACACATCTTCCAGAGAGGCATATACCTTCTGTCATGTTTCTAGAGATGAGTGAAAAGCTGTGAAATTAATCATCAGCTTTTCTCCCAGATATTTTAACTTTTGGTAAAGAAAAGCACACAAAGTATCTATAGCAAATTTCCAAAGTTAAAAGTATGCCTTCCTGCACGACTTGTGGTCGTTGGAGCTATTGATCTGCAAAGACCAGAGATGATGCTTATGCTTCAAGGGTTGGGAATTAGATAAATCTTCCTTTCCTTCCCACATTATGCCAAGGGCCAGTCCTTCAGTGTTTTTTCTCTACCCTTCCTAGCTATCAAGCAGAATGTTTCTAATCAGACTCAATAAACCCCAGAAAGATTTACCAAAGTGAATGAAGAGTTTCCTAGTGGGGAGCAGCTCTGTGGAAAGGGATCTGGGGGTCCTGGTGGACAAGCTCAGTATGAGTGAACAGTGTGTTGCTGCAGCAAAGCAAGCCAACAAGATGCTGCATTGCATCAACAAGGGCGTCACCAGCAGAGATAAAGAAGTCATTATCCCACTCTACCTGGCTCTTGTCAGGCCACACCTGGAATATCATGTTCAGTTTTGATCTCTGCTAGACAAAAAAAGATGTGGACAGGCTGCAGAGGGTCCAGAGAAGGGACAGAAAGACGATCAAGGGACTGGGAAGCCTGCCATATGAGGAACAGCTGAGAGAACTGGGTTTGTTCAGCCTTGAGAAAAGAAGGCTTAGGGGAGACCTCTTCACCATGTTTCAGTATTTAAAGGGTGGCATCAAAGAACATGGAGACTCCCTTTTTACAAGGAGTCACAAGGAAAAGACAAGGGGTAATGGGTACAAGTTACTCCAAGAGATTCCAACTGGACACAAGAGGAAAATTTTTCACAATGAGAACAACCAGCCATGGGAATAACGTCCCTAGGGAAGTGGTAGATTCCCCAACATACGACACTTTTAAGATTTGGCTGGGAAGGGTGCTGGGCCACCCATGCTTTTACCAAGACAGGCTGGAGCAGATGATCCTTGTGGGCCCTTCTAACCTGATATTCTATGATTCCAGTTCTTCCTCATCTGCAGTCTCCTCTGACCAGCTGCTGCTGCTTAGACTTGCTGCTGAATTCATATTTATTCAGTCTAATTCCTGCTTCCAGTGGTCCTGCTGGGACCTCCTGGTTCTATACTTTACCCTGGAGCAAGAGAAAGGACATGCCTGCATAGGCTGGGAAGCTCAGGAAAGGTAGTTGGAGGAAATTTGGGCAAACTCCTCTCACACATCTCAAATTATTCTGTTTGGGTATGAGCACCTCCTGATATAGGAACTTTTTCCATGTCTCACGGAACTACCTGGAAATTAAACTGGAAATCACCGGTAGAAAACAGAAATGTAACTCAGCACAGGAAAGTGAGTCTTTTGTCAGAATGCATATTGATGGGGAGTGCAAGCCTTTAGCCCTCTGTAAATGTCTGGCTAATTAATGCCATCTTTCTCCCTGCGGGTCAAATGATGAGCTGTTTTTTTAGTTTGTTTGTTTGGGAAAAAAAATAATCTACCTACTGGGGGAAACTGGTTCTTTTTACACACAGAAAGTAACAGAGAAAAAAGACATGTTAAGGTTTATCAATATGGGGGGGGGGGGGGGGTGACAGTTTTAATTCAGGATCTAAAAGACATCTGTGCTTCTTCCTCACATAGTGCTTAGCTACCTTTCCCTGCTGTGTGATAAGCATAAAAACAATCATGAAGCAAAACATCGTGGTTTCTCTTTGCTCCAAAAGAGTTCTTCTGAACTGAGAGTTCAAGGAGAAAAAGTTGATTCTGACCTTACATTAGTGTGATTATACTGAGCCAGGCTCTGTCTGGCCTCCCAGAATGGAGGGCAGGAGGGACACCTTGGATCCACCTTTCTTTCCTTCACTTCCTCTGTATTTTACCCTGGGCTTTGGCTATCCCTCCTCTGAACAAGATATGTCAACAGGGTCATCAGAGGACAGAAACATCCTTGTTCAGGAAAAGCCTTGAGAAGACTGAAACTGCTTGGTATCCAAGGATGAAGTGTATGGTGAAAGCCTTTCTCTTGGCTGCAGATATTTTTGGCTAGGAACCATCTATGACCAGCCTGAGGGTGGCCTTCTGTATCCAAATCCAGCCCTACAACTGGCATCACTTTTAATAAACGATAGTCAACTAGCTAGAGTTATCTAGTTTTATTTCTGGATTGCCTTGTCTTCAGGTGTTACCCCTCCCCTGACACCCTCACCCCTGCTCCCTCACCCCACCCCACCTGCCCTCCCCCCCACTCCCTTTTCTGCTCCCATGCCACTTAATGCAGATGGTGGATGGTCAGAGTTTGGTCCTGACAAGGAGAACCATGGATAAGCCTGACCAGGAAGCTGATCAACCCAAAGGGCCTAAGCAACCTTGATAATCTTGGGGAAACGGATACGTCCATTGAAAGGCATCAGGTCCTTGTTACAACACTGAGCAGGCTGGAAAACAAAGGTTTCAGGACTAAGGAGCCCAGGGGGAATCAGTGACAAGTGGCAAAGATGAAGATCCAGTGTTAGCTGCCTTCTGGCTGAAACCTTTCCCTCTCCTATCCACCAGGCTGAAAGCTAAGAGCAAAAGTAGTAATCTCACATGGGAATCTGATATCCTTTTGTCTTAACTGGGGGTTTTCAAGCTCAGCAACACCAACCAGCCAGTGTAAAGAGGCTGCATTGATTTGGAAGATGGGGTGACTTCTGTGTGACTTCCAAACAGTGGTTATCTTACAATGAATGGGCTTCATCTTACAGCATTTTTTCTGTTTCTTTTACAGAAAGCCCAATTCAACTGGGATCCAGAGACGGTGGGACTCATTCATGGCTCTTTTTTCTGGGGTTACATTGTGACACAAATTCCAGGAGGATTCATATCAAACAAATTGGCTGCTAGCAGGTAAGAACATAATAATGGAAAGAATTAAGCTTTACAGCCTGATGAACTGTTTTACACTGTTTAAATAATGATTATCAAACTGTGAATTAATATGTTTCAGGATCACACGTCTGAAACTGAACATGCCGTATTTATGTCTATAACCAAAAATGGGACCAGATTTCCATTATGGGTCTATTGCTGACTCTCCTAATTTAGCTTGTTCATCTCAAATATTTACATATTTCTTCTCTCAACAATAAGGCTTTCTGGAAAGTGTTAGGAAAATCACACCTAATGCTTCAGACAATAATTTTAGCATTTCTCTTTCAGAAGTTGCCTTAGTGCTTTTTAGCTCAACCTAACACCAAACAAGAATTTTCCAACAAAATTTGACCTCTTTTAAAAATTCCCTGTGGACTGAAGCTAGGCATGTAGGAATTACAGAACTATTTATCTTCTGAGGACACAAATCCATCCTCATGCACACAGACAGCTTCACCACAGCTGGATATAGTACTGACTGTAATTTGGATTGCCTAGAACTTCTAATAGAGCCTCATGATTTCTGTTTGGTGAATTCTGAGCATCTATACAGAATTCTTCTATGCTCATCGTGTTTGTGGGCTGATTTTTTTAAATTAAACTGCTTTCTAAAATAAGAGTAAGAAAAGCAGTTAATTTTGCCAAAGCTAACTTTGGTTTTGGGCTTTACTTCAAAAAGTCTTCAGAACTTGGAACGTGATCACAAGAGAGGGGGAGATTGTCTGAAGTCAGCTGGTTGTGAATGAGTTTGAGATGTGCATGTCAAGGATGGCGTTCGGGATCTTCAGAAAAACCAGATGGTTGGTACTCATTTCATTCTCTGCAAACAAGATGTGACTTACCTACAAACACTTTCAGAACTGGAAAAGGCATTTAGGACCAGTTATACATTGTTTTGCCCCAAATCAAAGTACTTTGCTCTCTTCATTCTGCGAAAAGCTATAGGGGTTACACTGCCTGGGCGTTCTTCCTGCCCATATGCCCTTATGGAAATGACTTCAGGACAAAGTCATCCCATAGAATTGCCCAGAAGTCCCAACTCCTCTCTATCTGTAACCAAAAGTTACTCAGAGTTCAATTTGCACTGCTTCTTCAACACTACTAGCATCCTCAGTTATTCATTTCTCTACCACCCAAAAGTGCCTAAGCAAAGTATTTTTCCATCTGCCGAATAAGCCAAACAAATTAAGCTTACTTAATCGTTTCCCCAGCCTTTCTAGTCTTGCCACCAGCTTTTGCAGCAGAAGGGCCCCAAAACGCAGATGTGCACACTGTTGGCTGAATAATTCAGCATATTATTAGTTTGGCTTTTGTTTCCTTAATTTTCTTGCAAACAGTAAAATCAACGTTTACATTGTAACTCAATGTATTCTGTCAGCATGCTACTTCCTTAACTATGTGTTGTGCATATGCACAGAAAGCTGGATTTCTGTCCCCATGAGAGTTTCAGACTCAATCTAATGCTATGCTACAACATCACATTATGGATTTGACTATCACAAATGGTTTTAGGAGTAGAATTTGCTGAGGAACAACAACATCTCAACATCTGAGCTCAAAGAGAATTTCTGTTTGCAGTAATAGGTTTCACAGGTCTGGCTAACTCCGTGTTTTTCCCCTCATTCCTTGTTTACACAACCAATTTCAGCCTGGGTAGACTCACCAGTGTTTCCGATGAGTTTCTGTTTCAGAGGGGTTACTTGCTAAGACACAGGGCAGGAAACCAGCAGATTTGGGGCCAGTCTGTGAACTCACCACCCTAGAAAGACAAATGCTTTCTTTTGTCCTAGCCACACTCTAGCAATGAAGTGTATTGTATTACTCTACCCTACTACTGACATTACAGATTTAGGTACAGACTTTTTTGTCACATGTTTAAATCCTGCTCAGCACTGTGCAACCTTGAACACACACGGACAACCCCACCCAAGGCACTTCTCTCATGCAAATAATTATCTGTAATAATGTGGGATTCAAATGGATCTCAGAACAGCTGCAAATATTGAGTACTTTATGGGTTTGCATCAAAACTATCTAATACCATGTAATTTGCTTTATATATTTGTCCAAATTTGTGTAGGTCTGCATTCCACCAAAAAATTCATGAACGATTTAGTGACACTATCCCTTTAACTTGCTGCTTATCCTCAAACATGCATCTAAATGTAATTTCATCATTGTTTGGCGGTGACAAGGATGCATGAAACATAAGGCACCTCCTGATAATCGGTTTTCAGTAACAGCACCCTGCTGGGGAGAGTTGTCCATTGCTGAAGAAGTCTGTTTTGATCCCAAAGCAGCAGCTGGCCAGGGATCATGTCAGTGAGGAGAGAAGAATATGCGAATGAATTGAAAAGAAATGGGATATTTTCAGTCATGGTGGGGACCAACTTCTTTGGGCTAAATGGCAGTGAACTGCTGGAAAGATGCTGCTTCTCTGTGGGAACACCGCTCAACCTCTTAAATAGTACCAGAACCGTGACTGGTTCTAACTCAATATAAATGATGCATTTACAACCTAGGCATATTAAGAGTTGGCACTAAATGAAGTACCAGAGATTGGAAACCCAGTCTTCACAGCTAGTTGTTTGGATAATTAAACATGTTCTCTTTCTTATGGCTTATTCTTTCAAGTGCTTATTAATTTACATAATTTGCTGTAGTTCCCTGTCAATAGCATTATAGTAACAAACCTGATATTTCTATTAGTGGCAAGGAGGCAAGGTGCAGAACTCCTTCCTTCACTGATGATAATAGAGAGCTAAGTAATACTTATTTGTCAGTTAAATGTTTACTTGGCTTTGAAAGCAGTCTCCTAAATGTCAAGATATGACCATAGGCTTTGTGTTCTAGTCCAGATTTTCAGACTGCTTTCTATATAAATCCATTCCTTTGTCACTTCTCTCCACCAGTCTACCCAGCCTCTTTGCTTTTGTGTTCACCTCCTGAGTGCTTTCTTGTCATTCAGATTATGAGCTGTCTAGGCATGGACTGTTGTTTTTCTCAATAGCTGTATAGAGTTTAGATAAAACAGTGTCGATCTCTGACTGTAGATTCTTCGCGCTATAATACTACCATTAATCCTACTGTGAATAATAAGACCAGATTAAAAAAATGAAGTTACACATATTTCCTGTGAATAAGTTTTCAAAAAGAGACTGAAATGTAAACAATTTAAGTCTTTATTTGAAAGAAAGCAGAGAACAATGGCAACAAAAGGTTTTAGAAGTTTAAAAATATTATGGAGTATGACAAACAGCTATGCATAATAAGAACGTCTTTTGCAGAAAAATCAAAAGGGAGAGAAATGCTCCTGTTACCCAAATCATATGATTTATGATCAAATATCATTCATGTATCAGAATGAAGCTTAATGTGTCTTTCTGAAATGCCACATACATAACAAGACTATTCAAAGCTTGTTAAACGTCACTGAATTTGAATAGTTTGAAAAAGGAACATAAATTATGGTCCACAAACAGCAGCATGCTGCTACCAAGGACCACTGTAGCTTTCTTGGTTTCCAGCGGTGGTGTTCATGGTGCGGCAGCCTCAGTTTTCAAACGAGTTCCCCAGATGTCATTTCAGGAGCTGGGCGCTCAGGAAGGCTTTTCCCTTCTGCTGCAGCATCAGTGCCTGGCAAACCCGCAGCCCACGCCATGCTGAAATGACTGCCCTGTAGCCCAGCTGTCTCTCATGTCTAGTGTCACTGTTGTTTATTATTGACACAGCCTGGTAAGTGTGCACCACTCTTCAGTTAAACATAGGAAAGCCTGTGTCCAGGCTGGGAAAAGCTCCCACAGACTGCGGTGAGTGAGGCAGATGTGGCTTTGAGTGCTACCCCAGGGCCTCTGAGTGGCCTCGACTTTCAGGGACGCTGCTTGGATACGTTATCACTACGCAGAGGTTTCTGCTGCCTGTTTCTCTAACAGGTGCAAATATTTAGGAGGCTGCAAATGATTTCCCAAAGGCACTGAGCCCCAGGTGCATTTAGAGGCTTGACTGACTCGTGCCCAGCTGCAGCAAGTGCTCTTCCCAAGGAGAGTAACAAAATTTTTATGTCATGTTTTTCACAGAAGTTGTGATGTAGAAATGCCCCTTCTATGTCACAGTCACAAAGGACACTTGTAGCTGTTATTTAAAGAAGTGATTTCAGAAACAAGTTGATCTTGACCAGCCCTGTTACACATTATAGCAGCAGCAAGTGGAACTAACCAGTACACTCCCATATTCAGAGAGGCACTTAAACCAGGCTTCACCTGATTTAAGTTAAACCCTATTGATATAAAAGAATTTAAGTACTTCCCAGGATAGGAATGCTTCTGTCAGCTCAGGACTCATATAAAGGTATGTATAAAACTTCTGTTCCATTCAGCAAAGAAAATGTATGGGACGTGTGGGGATTTATCCCCTTTAGCCTATAAGGTGACTTTACAAGTATTTGGGTTGGTGAGATGGCGGTAGGTGAGATCATCTCTCTGACTGTACCCGAGAACAACGTTGTTTCTGAAAAGTAGACAATAATTATATGCCCTTTTGTGTTATTTTTTTCCATAGAGTATTTGGAGCAGCTATCTTTCTAACATCTACACTGAACATGTTCATCCCTTCTGCAGCAAGAGTGCATTATGGCTGTGTGATGTTTGTAAGGATTCTGCAAGGTCTGGTGGAGGTAGGAGCACTCATCATTTTGGTCCATTCATACATCATTTGTTTTTGGAGATTTGTTTCTAAAAAGCTGTAAGATCTTTTGGTCAGGTTTTCTGATCAATCTACAGTTTTACTTATTACTCATTTTTAGATGACAATTTCTTAATCATACCAATTTATGTTTTTAAGTTTACTTAAAAGAAAATAAAAAGTTTAGGTTTCCAGTGCTGCAGTTTGAGCTATTTTAGTTTACTTGTGCCATCCACTGCATGTTCTGAACAGCATTTTTACCTTGGAGCACATTACCATTTAAGTGATTATTCAAATTAGTTTGACATCCTCATACCCAAACAACAGAGCTCTTCCAGGCTTACCTAACCCTTTCTACATCATTCCATGGTGACAAACAGCTAGACAGGTTGGACAGTATCAGCAACTGCTTGAAGTAGGAAAGCAGTGAAAGTAAATCATATGATGTGTGAAATGTCTGCCAGGGTGTCACCTACCCAGCCTGCCACGGGATGTGGAGTAAGTGGGCTCCTCCGCTGGAGAGAAGCAGGTTGGCCACCACATCGTTCTGTGGTAAGTTGATAGGCTTGTATGGTTTATGTAAGTACATATTCCTATTAGACATAATTTATTCATTTCATTATTTAAAAGAGAAATGCAAACCTTCTGCCCTTTGCCGTATTTGACTTGTACTCTGACCTCAGGAACCTGAGAGTCTTTTTGTTTAATATGTCGTCATTTTGTCATTTAAAGCCAACTCTCAGAATGACTCTCATAGTAAACTAAAATGGGTCTAGAGGTGTCGCATGAGAGAAATTACTTTTTTTTTTTCATTTGCTCTGTCCTTAGAGATTGCATTTATTATACATATGGAATTGACCCTCCTAAACAAGCACACACTTAAAAAACCAGTTTTTAGGCTGGCTGCTCAATATGCTGCAGTGGAGGTGCTGTAACTTCTTGCCACTAGCTGTTCTGCTTCACTCTGTTTTGAATTATAATCAGGCTTTTACTTTGCTCTCTTCTCTGGGTCCCTCTCCAATGCTGACAGCTGGCCTTCTGGAAGATGGCCTGCAGGAAATTTCAGAAGACTTTGGGGAGAGGAACCCAGTGGAAAGACAGGAGAAATCAAAGTCTCTCATTCCCTTTGGAATGTTTCTAGCCTCTGGCAAGAGCCTTAAACTTTGTTATGAAGCAAGGAGCAGGAAAACTACTGAGGTTTTATACCTTATTCTTCAAGGAAGATACCCTCTTTTTGCTTACAGCCACACTAATGAAAAGGGGGGAGAGAAAAAAAAAAAAGTTTTTTCCACTTTTAATTCCATCTTCCAGGCTCCAGGTAGCAGTTTTTGCCACAGATCACTCTGAGCTACCACAGTTTCTTGCCAGAAAAGACGATGTGAGTGTCACACCTGTCTGGCCCTTTCCCAGGTCTATTTTGAACGGTCCCCTCCTCATATACCTTATCACCCAATGTCTTCATCTCCTTTTGGTAACCCTGAGATCTTCAATTAGCTGTTAATTCCAGGGGAAACGGTGAATGTTAGAATCTCCTTACCAGCTCCAGGCTGGATTTGGGAAGATGGCTAAATGTAACAGAGGTAAGGCATAATCCAAACGTACTCCCTCTGCTTTTTTACCCTAAAAAGTCCAGATAGGCAGAGTACAAGGCAGGAATGGTTCTGCTGGAATTTCAAATGCACTGTGGTGGAAGTGAAGAGAAAGGCATTTCTCATTATTTCACTCCTTCATTTCCTATCCTCAAAGATGGTCATTGTCTGTATTTGGTGTGCCCCTTCCTATTTGTAACTGGGAAATTGGAATGGTGAGTGGATGTTTAACAGTACTGGAAAAATCAGAAATAGTAGGACTTTGAAGAGTAAGCAGTTCGGATAGGTGGAAGAGAAAACATCGAAAATAAATACAGGTGGTGAGGTAAAGCCAGCTGAAGAGAAAATATTAAATTCAGTAAGAGAATATATACAATAGAAAATGTAGAAGTCACAGGAAAAAATATTCTGTCCATCTGCCGTGGAACTAAAATGCTAGGGAAAATACAGCAATAGAATACAAGAGGAAGGATAAAAGGAGGAGTGAAACAAGAAAAAAAGAATGGGTTTGCATATTATGGGAATTTTACTTTTATTACAGATGACTCCAGGATTTAGTAGTTATTAGTGTTTCCATTTTCTGCAGAAGAATAGACCAAAAGAGAAGCCTCTCCACCCTCAGTGTTCTCTCCTTGAAATCCTAGCATCAGGCAAAGAAGGACCCATCCTGCTGCTCAGCACCCATTTTAGTGGCTACAGATCACGGATCCTTGCACTTGAAAGGTGCACAGGAACAATGGAAAAATTAGGAAGTCCCATGTTAACTAGGTTCTTGGTTTCTCTGACTATATTCTTGCGTGAGACCTTGCTATTCCTGTAGGAAAAAAATGAATTACACAGAGACGAGGGAGAAGGGTCACTGTGAACCAGTGCAGAGAAGTATTTGCTAATGAGTGGAGCATTAACAAATATTCATTAACAAAGTATGTAATACTCTCAAAACCACAAATATCTAATTTCCTAGAACAATTCAAAGCAACACTTCTCATATATGAAGCCACTGGCACTGTCTTGCACCAAAACTAAATGTCCAGATTGCATGAATTCTCCCTAGGGTCTGCATGAAAATTCCTTTCCAAGCACTTAAATACTCACCTCTTTCTACAAGTCACTCAGAAATGTATTTCACCAGTATTATATATTCCCCAATCAGAAACCTTGGCACAGACCACTTTTTCATCCTTTTTTTCCCCGTCAACTTTTGCCTATTTATTCCAGCTGTTTGTTCATGCCACTAATATGAACTAGACAAGGTTAAACAGACTCAGGGTTGGTCTGAACACCCTCTCCGCTACCAGTGCTTGTGGGGTTGTAGGGCTAGAGCCATGACAAGAGCCTCCCAGCATATCTGCAACCATCAGGATTTCTGGACACCAAGAAGGCTTCTGAAACTTGGGCCATGAGCTTCTCCAGAGCTCACTTCATACACCACGGGGTTATGTGGGATTCCCCACTTAAGTGCATACATAGAGCTTATGCCTGTGTGGTGGTTTGCCATCTGTCTTGGATTTGCAAGTCCCATTTATGTACAAGGCACAGCCCTTCTAACTGCAAAATGAGACTGATGATCCTGCAGCAGTGAGGACCAGTCCTTCCCACTGCCT